CTTCCTTCCTTCCTTCCTTCCTTCCTTCCTTCCTTCCTTCCTTCCTTCCTTCCTTCCTTCCTCCCATAACACATTGTCCTGCTACAGTGAAGCTATATAGGCATTGACATAGACATATAGGCATAGGCATAGATACTGGTATGTATGAATCAAAATCCAACAGACTGTGATCCTGGTTAAGTATTACAGGACTCTCCAGATCCTTTGCTCTGATAATTGTGGCATCAGCCTGGACGAAAGAAGGGAATTCTTAGACCTGAGTCTCTTTTTTTTCTCTCTCTCTTTTTTCTTTTTTTTTACTCTATCTGGTGATTTACATTTGTATGAAGAGAAACTTAAACTCCAGTTCTCATTTAGAAATGTTCAACATCAAATAGATGTTAAACAAATGCAAAAATTAGAGCAGCATGGAAAAGCCAGAGTAGTCTCAGTATTATCCCCGTTCTACACTAATCCTAAACCCAGTGTATTTAAAAAATGTAGRCTCCTTGAACTAGCATTAGCTTTAAAAACTATTCAGCTGCAAACAGGCACTTTCTGTTGCTGCCACTGAAGTTGCAATAAAATGAAAAAAAAAAATCACATGTATTGCCATGTCATGCAGGATGTTTCAGGSTAGAATTAAGAGTTAAGTCAGTGAGTCTGGCTTCCTATATACTTAGAACCATTGCATTTCACACAGGCATCCTGCTTTCAGGCTAACACCATAGAAAAATCTGTAGAAATACATTTAGTCTTCAGCAGCAGATGAAGAAAGTGCCACTTTATGAGGTCTTCTACTGGTTAATCATTCTCACTGTGCATTATTTTTAATATGAAACTGTTTGATTTTGGCTTATAGCCAGAGATATTTTCTATGCTTCCATCTGCTACATTAAGTAGCCCTGCAGTTTCCAGCATTTTCTCTATGGACTTTTATGTTCAAATAATATTCACACTAAATACTTCTTATGTTCTAAAGAAACTGGGGAAAGTATGTCTGTATTATACAGTGCAGTATTAAATAGTGATTCAGCAGTGTATAGTAGTAACATCAGTAGCCTCCTACTGGTTCTTTACCTAAGGACTGTAGTAAGACTTGTCAGAGCAACATGTGAACCCTTTGATCCTTCCCCTCTTCATCTCCTTCTCCTCTGCTCTTYTCACCTGTGGTCAGATCCTTTCCAGAGGCACTAATATTTGGATATGTACCTGTATTGATAGCCTGATTTCACTCTTCCTTGATGTAGTTTATATTTGGTACTCTCAGGATTTGATTGGAATCTTTCCAGCCTGGTCCATCTAGACCAGTCTTGGGCTCCCAAATCCCAACTTCATCTTTAACACTCTGTCAGGTCTTCTGCTATCACCAAGTATTTCCAGCAACAACTTGACATTAATTTCAAGATCACTAATGAATATGTTGAATAACCTTTACCCTTCACACTCTTGGCATCCCACCACGATTGTCTTCCATTTGTGATGATTCTTCCTACTAAGAGTCACTTTTGAGACTAGTTGGTCAGCTGCTATTCTTAATCTGCTTAGCAAATTGTTTTATAAATATTCTGGTTGCATTGTTATATGATCATAAAATGAGCTACCCATCAAAGTTTAAATCTGTTATATCTGATTTTTCTGTCCACTTAACTTTAATTTCATGAAAGAATTAGAGCAAATGTGGCTGAAAAGATCTGCTTTGTTAACTCCACAGTATAATAGATACAAAATGAATTGATTTGTATTTATTATTTCAATAAATGTTATATATTAATATTTAATATTATTACCATAACCATCACTGAACAAAGATAATGGAAACATTAACTTGAGGAGTGCTTCAAAGACAGATTAGCATCTGTCCTGAACTTATAACAGAACTCTAGTATATTTATGCTCAGCTATTTYATTTGGATCTATTTTTTCATTTTTATCAGAATGAAAAAATAGCATATGTGGCACATACAAAGCACTCACTATCCCAAGAAAATAAATCAAGATGTTAGAAGACTATTTTCCTTATAAATTACATATTAACTAGCTATTGCCTATTAGGCTAACTATTAACTACTAAATTCAGTTATCTAAATTCCCTTCTAAATTAACTATAACCGTACGTTAAGGAAAATAAACGCTTCAAAGCAGCTGTTAAACTAGATAGATAGATAAACTAGATCTGTTAAACAGATATCATGCTGCTTTCACTTTATTTTTTTTTTCTAAAATCTTGTTCTGTACCGTTCTACTACTATTGTAGCTGAAACCATTTCAGGCAGTCTCAGACATTTCAGAATGGCTATAGCCTACCTTTCTACCTCTGATTTGAATGTAATTGAAGCAATATTCTGTACAGGACACTTTTCATTCTCACCAATTTTATCACTCTTGGAGCACTCTCAACACTCTAGTAGTGAAAAGTAATGTAATATAGGCAAGAGTGCTCTGCTATCAGTCCAGTTGTCTAGGGATGAATTCTATATTTTGAAGTAATTAACTAATTGCAATGAGCAAGAAGGCATGTAGTTGGCATCCTCTACCTGGTCTCGGYTGTGGATAGGACTCATGAATGTCACTCAGAAATGCTGCACACAAAATTATAGACCCATATGGCAATTACAAGAGAAAAAACGAAGTCACTTAATGGTATCATTAAAGCCAACAAACATTATTTCCACAAAACTTGAACTTCCAGCTTGAAATGATAAAAGTCACTTCAAATATGTATTTAAATCACCACAATTATCTTTTAATTGATTTCATATTTACCTGAATTAAACTAGCAGCTGGATTCCTTCTTTTCTCAAAGTGTTTCTGACGATGCTGTTCCTGCACTTTTAATGCAAATCCTGAGCCAAGGATGCCCTGCAATACAATACACCACTTTATCATCACACAGGTAGCTTTTGTAGGTAGCTTTTTTCAATGCATGCCCATAATCAATTGCAAAGGYTTTGGGGGGCTTTGTTTAATGTGATTACTTCAGAAAACACATTTATTACACTACATGGCTTAATGGGAGGGCTAGTACAGAGGAAAACAGGAGGCTCCCTACTGAAATGRGACCTTCTGTGGTACTACCACTGGCAGCTCATCCTAACCATCACTTGGACTTGTGCTACACGATGTTGGAGATCAGTCTTTTGCTTTTAAAAAAGTTAGAATACGCCTTGCTTAACAGATTAACATCATTTCCTCTCACTCCCATCTAAATAATCTTCCTTGTTCCTTCGACGGGGTTTGAAAAAAAGCTGATGCTGCAATCTCTCCCCTTTTGGCTATTTTTTTAATGTTGAATATGTCAGATAAATTGGACTCCTGCTGAACAGAACCGAAGGCTGAGAACGTTTCCCTAGGAGTGTAATACTTCTACTGGACATGTCTGCATTATAAGCAAGAATACTTCCACTAGATTCTTAGTCATTAGGAATTCTTCTATTAGGAATAGAAGTTCTGACTTCTCTAATACACAAAGCTGTTTTTCACACATTCAGTAGCTTTATTGCCTGGCAGTCCTGCTAAAACTACATTTTCTGGGAGTGGTGACTAGGTAACAAAGAGAATTAATTACAGTAGCTGCCATTAAATGTCAAGATTCACAAACAGGTTATGTATTATAATTATAATACACTGTGATATGTCAGAGATACTAAAATTCTCTCTATTCTTAAGGTAAGAAATGCATGTAGTATTCTAGATGATTCAGTACTGCTGGTAAATGCGTTTGTTAATGTTGGTTTGTCTATACAGTTAAAAACAAATGCATTATTATACCACACATTTTACAATGGTCTATAGATAATGAATCTCAGTTTTAAAATATTAATTTCCCACATATATTATGCTGGATGTAATACAACAAAATAGGAATGTCACTTCTGATTTCATGCTTATTCAATACTCACTTAAAAAAGAAAGGAAATTTAGTCTTTCACAGCTGGATACTACACTCAAAAATGAAATATTATTTATGGAATTTAGTCATTAGATGATTTCCATTTGCATTAAAGTCTTTTTAATATTAATAAAAGTACTAAAAATAAACTGTCATGCCTATTAAGATTCACAGAAAAGAATAATTACATTTTTGTATTCAACTATGATAGAWTTTTCTTGATTTAATGCCTTCTGTTGCTGTAAACTGGTAGTCTGAACATACTCATGCTAGACAACCTGTTAGAAATATTCCACTTTTTTCAGGAGACTCTAATTCAGAAAAATGTATCTGCTGAATTATTCCAAAATTCAAAAGGCAAGAAGAAGTACAATTCCACAACTGAGACACAATTTGTAAGAAAAGAAAAGAATTTCATCCTTACAAAGTGCTATCTAATTTAGTATTATTTCCCRGTTTTGTTCTTTTCAGACTCACAAAATGTCAGGCAATGACAGCAATAGCTACAGTCCTTTCATTTGGGCTTCATCAATGTTGTCACGGATAAAAAAAGGCATTAAACAGTTGCTCTTCATGCAGGCAGCTTTTTGTATTGTAACAGCAGTAGGAACTACAAGGTTTCTGTTAGATTTTACAAATTTTGTAAGGATACTCACAGCAGGTAGTGCAAAGAAAGAAATGCCAAGGAGAGCAAATCCCGCGGAAAGCAGCCTTCCCAGCCAAGTAAGAGGAGTTTTGTCTCCATAGCCAATGGTTGTCAAGGTGATCTAAAAACAAATGAATGAACATCATGGATTACTGAAGGCTGTGAAAGATTAGCTGGAGATAAAATACATTGCATGAAATATCATTTCCACTAAGCAATTATTCACCACGACACTTGAAGTATAATTAATTGTTTCTAAAAGAAAAAAATCCATAAATATGTCAACACAAATTCCTTTTTTTCTGTGACAACTCAATACTATCTAGGACTGAATAAAACTGAGATAAACAATAGATATAAGACAAATATCCAAATATGCAATAAATAAATTTTAAGCATAACAGAGCAGAAGGTTTGGGATCTCAAAATCTAGGCAAATGAATGAGTCAGGCAGAAAAATTGTCATTTTTGGTGCATATAAAGGTGTTCTACCTATTTTCAGCAAAAACATATAATAACCTGTAGGCATTTGCACAAGTATACAAGTATAAATTTATGCAAAGATCATACTACTAAAATATAATAGCTAAATAATAAAAGGAAGCTGAAGTTCACAGTCAAGATAAGTCAACGGAACTACAAGAAGAAGCTGCATTTGCCATGAACCCATTGTAACATTTTGAAAGAGATCATCTTCTGAAACACAAAAAGACCCTAACTGAAAGCTGGAAGGGACCTTAAGAAGTTCTTGGTTGCTTCCCCTTCCTTATGACAGCTCTGGCACTGTTGTCATGAAGACCCAAATATTCCACAGCACCATAGGGTTTGTCAGGATGTTGGACAATAGGAGCTCAAAGGTGTGAGTGAATAAGAAACAAGAGGGCACCTGGTTCCCTCCATCATTCCTTCTCATGTGCAGAGTGTTAGCAAACCACATAGAGATTTTTCAGAAACAGTGCAGCAACAATATAGATTATGGCAGAATTCAGAGGGAAAAGAGACTTGTTACTATCAACAGTTCATCGAATAGGCCACATAGACGTGCTGCATGTATTCCTAATGCCACTGGAATCACATTGTTTGGTTGTGGTTTTTGAACATATCTGAAAGGCACAACAAGACAAAGCCAAATAGATTCAGGTTTGTTGTGGCTTCATGCTTGTGTGTGGTTGGGGTCTTCACCAACCCAAAGAAATGTCCACCAGACAAGACCTGTACATCCTGGCCTAAAAAGTGCGGCAGTCTCGAATTCTGGGACTGGCCCAGCAGGAGAAATTCACTTTTGTGTACCTTGCTCTTGGGGAGTTCAAACCCTCATGCCTCATGCAAACAGTATGAGCACAGACACTGAGCTGTGGATTTGTGAAGTCCACTGGAGYGTCGAATGGCGTCGGGCCAGGTGCAGGCACACAATGTTAAAGATAGACAACAATAGACCAAATGCCAAGGATTCCAGGGCCTGTTATTTGTGGAGAACTTGGGCAAAGATAATTATTTTACATAATGGACCAAACGTGGGCAAGTTCAGGCTCAGCAAATATTCTGACAGAAGTGAATTCTTCAGAAAAATGCCTTCTAGAGACAATACTTTGCTTCCAGCTTCCTCAAAGTTCATTCTTAGGAAAGATGTCCAAAGCAATTCTATTTAAATAGGGTCACCACAGGACAAAAGAAGCAAAGCCTTTTGGAGGTAATTAGATTTCAACTATTTAGGGCTTTGTAGATAGTAAACAGTGCCTTTAATTGCTCACATCGTTGGGAACAAACTGCGGGTGGAATTTATCCCAAGAAAACCATATTAAGGCTGTAGCTGCAATTTCAAGAGGCTCATGAATCTCAAGTTTTGTAGCACTAGCCTGGAGACATCACAGCTCTTACTCGTAATAAAGGCCACCTTAGGTGGCTCCAAGGCACCTGAGACAAGTAGCCAACATCTGCCATATCACCTGTCCCTCTCTCCTTGCTCCCCTGCCCTATGTCCTTTTCTTGACTTTTGCAGAACCCTTCAAAGAATCAATGCAGCCCAGGAAAGTGGTGAGAATTACCTATGTTTTTATGTGGTTCGTTTCCGACATTTATGTGAGTTGAATGTGCTCACAGAAGGGTCTTACAAGCACAAGTGCCTGCACACGTCAGTCAGAAGAAATGCACTCCTGAGGCTGGCCAATAAATAAGGGAAATGGGAAGGCATCTCCCTCTTTTTTTTTTGGCAGAGGTGAGCTTATGCAACCACGCTCTTGGCATGGCAAGAGGGTTTGGTTTGGTTTTCTCTTGTTTTCAGAACAGGGTATTCCCAGCTCTTCTCATTACAGGGCAAGTGCAGAACAGTTTGAAGCTATTAAGACTCAGAGAGTAATGAAGCATTTGAATAAATGAATCCCTGAATAAAAGTTCCTCAAAACTCATTTCCAGGCCAATCATTGTGAAGCAGTTTGAAGCTCTGGAACGAACCCAATTCCTTGGCTTTCGTCCAGCTCCCTATCTCTGCCAGACGCTGCAAAGTGCAAGATATCTCCTGTTTGGGTTGACAAGAAGGAAACATAACTAAGTGTTGTACACATATTAATGAAATTACCACCTAACAATCTTACAAAGAAATKATAGATAAACTTTAATCTTTGGGACTTGACATCTGAGAGCAATTCAGAAACAAGAGCCTTGCAGGCCATATCTTTGGAATTTCTCCAATAAATAAGACGACCATGTTAAGGCCTTCCTTTTTTTTTTCCCCATTCTTTTTAGGTCCTGAAGACCTATATTGTCTGTAACATAGACTGTTACAGTCTATGATTAAGAATATCAGTGGGTCCCTTCTCACCTTGAGCAATTTTATCTGAGCAGGCCAATATAGTCTTCATGTGGTCACACAGCCATCTGCACTGTGACGTATCATCTTACTCAACACTAAACAGATTTGATTTTCCCTTTATATTTCTCTTGTCCATGACTTAGAAAGCATTTTCCCACTCAATTTCAAGGTCAGGTCAGGAATAAAGCTCAGCATCTTTGTTAGGGCTCCAAGCAAATCACTAACCCACTGACCTTGGGTTAAGCTAAGTGAGTGTGGAAAACTACTGGACATGAGACCACAGCAACATGAGAAATTGCCAGACGTATGTGGCAGGTAATGTGAGAAGCTGACAAATGTTGCAGATAGCGTTATGAGGGATGGCTGCATCTCACAGGTGGTGAAGGGAGCAAGTTCACTCTTGCATGACCAACAGCGCCTAGGCATCTGCATCAGAAATACCCTGTAAGGCCAGTGTGAAATCTGGGTATAGAAGTAGGACTGGGACAAAYAGGAAAGAATTAGGGGCAGGTTGTTTACCTGGAGGAAAACTGGGGTGGGGAAAAGGAGAATAAAGAAATAGGGATAGGGATAATAAAATGAGCAAATCATGTCTTTCTGGGGATAGCTGCTGGACATTSATGTCTCCAATTGCCACAGCCTAAATCAGAACAATAAAAAAAACGTTCTGACCACAACACAYCCACACTCAAAACAGATTTCTAGTGCCATCTGAGATGCCCTTGGGCATCTGAACATCCAGGGACTACTGGCAGGAGAGACACAGCTCCTCAGCTGGCTGAAAGTCCAACTGATCTTATAGGGGATCTACCTGTGTTCAAGCAATTGAATCACACTCTTATGCAGCTAAATGGATTAGAAAACTCCCATCTTCCACATTAGATGGAAAATGCTCCATTTGGATTGTTTCTGTAAATGAGTTGTCTGGACAGATGAGCCAGGAAAGGCAGTGTCCCCTAGCTAGACTCAAAAATCACAAAGACAGAACTGTCCTTATATTTCAACTCATTGCAAGAACCAATAAATATGTGAATAATCAGATAACATAATAATGATTGAGATTATACAACCTAATTGCCTCCAGTCAGATGAGAGAGACAGGATACCCCAATGTTTTTTCTCCTATGTAGCTGTTGTTCAGTTAGCAGTACTTAGCTTCTGAATCTTTAACTGACATTAATTAACTGAAAATATTCAGTTAGCTCCTRCTACCATATTAGATGGAAAATACATCATTAATATTAGCTCATTTGAGCTAGTAATTGTAGCAATATTATTCACTGTAAGCTTTTTTTTTTTTTTTTCATCTACAGATCAATGTGGAATGCCACAGGCATTCTTYGCCCAATTGTAACTACTGAATATATATATATAATATATATATATAACTTTGAGCTGTATTGAGCACCACTGGGTAACTTCAGCCACTAGTGTAAACCCCATAGTAACATTAATAAGATGTTGAAATTGCAAGTTGCACAGTACAATGTGCAATTGCAAATACACTGCAATATTCTTATGCAAATTAGTGTGCTATGCCATGTCTTCAGTTTCAGTCTAAAACTAGTGGCTAAAACACAAGAGTCAGTGAAATGACCGTAGCAAAATATGGCTTTCAAATAATGTGAATTAACTAATGAGTTAAATCCTGCATGTTGGGTCTGGTCTTATAAGAGTGGCAAGYGTGTGCAGAAGCATGAAATTTAAGATGGCTATTTATGACTGACTTCAATGCATTATTTTTTCCATAGAAATTTCACATAAACTAATCTGGGATTTGATAGATACTTGTGATTTAAGCTAGAGCAACTTTTGCAAATAAACAAATCAATGGAGCTAAGCATTGATTTCCCTTAGAATGCCATACAATCTGACCTTTTCAAAATCAGTATGTGGGTTACTCTGGCAATGAAAACAACCATGACTAAGAAGCACATTAAGCCATTCCCACATACTGTTTTACATATTATACAAAAAATACTATTATTAACATGGCAAAGGTAACAGGTAAGGAAGAACACTGATTTTCAGTGACTTTGTGCACTTAGGCACATTAAGGATTTAAATGGATTCCTGTCACACACTGGAGAAAAGAAGAAACAATACAAAAAATGCACAATATAGATTATTTTCAGGTTTTTGATTATAATTTGTTGTTTTTTTTCCTGTTGATGTCAAGAAAAGATTCCCATTTTCTCAGTTTGCACAACTTATCTGACCTATGAGTCACGCATTTTCACTTCAAAGTATACAAAATATTTTAAGCACCATTTTATATAGTGATTATTTCTTAGCAGGGTTTTTCCTTAAAAAACAGCAGTCAGCAGGGAGTGGAGAAGAAAATTATCAAACAAAGATCTTGTTTCTGGAACTAGATCCGCCAAGGGAGAAGGACTTGGCTTGATGTGAGCCTGAACTGAGGCCTAAATTTCCCGAGACTTGGCCATTTCTCGCTTGGATGTGTCCCCTCACTGGCAGTGGGGCCTAAACCTGCACTTAGTCAAGCTCCCCATCTCTGCAGAGCTCTCTGGGAAGGATACGGTGTTTCCCGGGATATAAAGAGGCTGATAACGTGTGTCCTCAAGCTGCCTGAGCTGGTGCCTCAATCAAAGGGTCCCAAGCCAACAGCTGCCCAAGAGCAGCCATGCAGACCCACTGAAGTCAAAYCCCAACCTCTGCTTTTTTCAGGAAAGTGAAATTCCTCTTGGATCAACTCCCGTTAGGGCAGAGAAACCACAAAACCAATTGCAGTGGTCTAACTGAGGGTAAAACGTGCTCTGATGGCTTAAGTCAATATGGATCTCATTTTGGAGATCTGAATTAGGTCAATTTGGAYTGTGGGATAAGAAGATGTATTTTTATAAACAAACAAGTTCTAATAGTAGGAGATGACCTTCGCCTTTGGCAAAAATATAAACAAAACACATTAAAAATATTCTTAGAGATTCAATTGTGAAATGTTTTTTTGTGTAGTCTCTCATCCCATAGTCTGAATCTGCAAATGCTGCTCAGTCCAGGTGAAGTTGTCAGCAGAGGTCTGGGCAAACTTCATTTTTACACCCCCTCAAAAGGAGAGGTGGCAAAAGATGGTTCAGGTCTCAGGTCTTTCCCGGGAAAACTAATGAGTGCTCCAGGTCATGTCAACATTAATGATCTCATGGGCACCATTTCACCCCCCAGACTCTGTTGGAGACCATGGCAGTTGTTCTGCTGCACCAGATTGGGGGAAAAAAAGCAGTTTTAAATGACCTGGTAATCGCTTTGCCACAGATTTTGTAGGGGCAGATTTCCCAAGCTGCCTGAGTGACTACCACACAGTGCAGCATGGGACAAGGGGCCAGCTCAGTACAGGGCATTTTTATTTCCATGAAAACAAAGAACTTATACATTATGCAAAAAAAAAAAAAAAAAAAAAAATCAAACACTCATACCTCATTCTTCATTGCTCATTTAAAGCCTATTTTATTTTGACTGACCTGCAAAAGTGGTCAGAAAACACTGCTGGGAATATTTATTCTTGTTTTTTTATGTCCAAGGTACAGAGGAGGGAGAGACATCACTCAGAGTGTGTATTTTGATGGCATGTTTTCTTCCATTGCAAAGCTAATTTAAGAATTTTCCATCATTCTTTCATTCCTGATGCTTGTTCCTCCTGCCATCTCACTTGGATCAAGGCAGCTTATCACACTATAAACTGTATTATTAAATAATATTATTTAAAATGTTATAGTTTATAACATGGGTCAAATTATTGGCCTAAATATAGGGTCAAAACCAAAWTTTTTTCTCATGGAGGTTCAGTGATCTGGTCTGCAGCAAAGACTTGTGAATAACAACTCTACATGGTGGGTAAAACTGAAATATGGATGTGCAAATGAACAGCTGGAGGAGGGAACTTCTCAGACCAGCCTACTTCCAGAGAAAACAATTTGCTGAGAAGCACCGTAAGTTAAAATGGACAGTGAGTGAAATGCAAAGCATTTTAGCATATTAGCCAATATATATAACCAATGCTATATAACCAATGCTATATAACCARTAGCTATAACCAATGTATATTGTTTTTCTGTACTTACTGTGCCCCACCAGAGAGCATCTGCATACGTAGAGAACTGGTTATTTGCATCTTTTTCCACCAGATAAACCAGGAAAGATGAAAAGATGAGTACTAAAAATCCTATGTACCAGGCTGTGATTAATTCCTAGATAAAAGAAATCAGATATCAATATCCATTTAAAAGACTAAACAGAATGGCATTTCAAGGTAGACACTTAAGATTTAAGTAGACAGTAAAAGATCTATGTACTTGGAGCAGTTAAAAGTCTTATGCTTTCCTACTGTTGCCAATTTTCTCTAAAAGTGGACCAATCCTGTAGCTTGACCCTCTAGAAACCCCATCCATGTATATATAATTACAGCAGAGCATCAAGTCCAATATTTGCAACATTTTCTAAAAACTGTTAGCCATTTAGCATGGCCTGACATATCTGTGTTAATGCCTACTAATGGCTGTTACTTCAGGAAATTCAATGTATTCTACTCAACATGGCTAAATATTTGTTTCTTTGGATTCCTATTGAATCTTGTGAAGAAGTCTGCCAAGCAAACCCAGCAGCTAGAATTACATACCTTGCTATGTGCATAAACTACTGAACCTAATAATTTCCAAGTGCCTCCTCTTCGGTCCATGCGCACCATACGAAGGATCTGTAGGAAACGAAGACTTCTCAGTGCTGATGTTGCAAAAATGTTACCCTGAGTTTTTGCAGAAACAACTGCTATTGAAGCGATGAGAACAATGATGTCTGAAAGAAATATATTACAGAAAACATTAATGTCCATGTACTAATCAGTAACACTTATATGTACTTGAGTTGAATGAGAGGACAAAGAAGAGTGTCCTCCTGCAGCGGGCAGGAATCCCAGGCACTGGGAATCTTGGTTGAGTTAGGAGTCAGGATTGGGAGCCTACAAACTGGGAACCAAGGACAGTAATTTTAAAAAGATACATGTAAGAGGAGCAATATTGAAGGATGTGTCCTGGTCTGTCTAGGAACTTTGAAGTCTTATGTATCAAATTGTACAAAACAGTAGATGGACTAGAATGTTTACCCTTCACATCTTTCCTCATAGTACCTTTCCTAGGAAAAGGGAAAATAAAGGTAAAAAAGAAAAAGAAAGKTAAGAAAAAGGAAAAGAAAGTTAAGAAAAAAGCAAAGCTGTCTCAGTGATGAGAGCCTAGTAAAAGCATTATGACTTGCAAATACACATCTTTCCTGCAAGAACACTATATGATTCAGGCATATACTAAATAAATTTCTGKACACAACTCCTCTTAGGTGCCGTTTCCTGGAAAGGAAAAATATACTGCTGGATAGTGAGAAACATTCTTCCTGCTGGCAGCCTGGAAAGGTTTTGCAGTCCAGCAACTGTTAGGATTTATTTCYTCAGGCCATAGCTTCAAACTGTGAGCTTGAGTGTTTTGCATGAATTAACCAGCTAACTGCCTTGTAAGTCAGAACATCATTTAAGGAGAGATGAGAAAAAGAAGCAGAGTGACAGCCCATGAACACTGTGAGAAGACATAACAATCTTTTATGGAACATTTATAAGAAATATGTGGTTTAATTCTTATGATTTTGTCTTTTGTATTTTTTTTATCTGCAAGTATATTCTAAACCTGCATTTGCCGGTGGAGAATTTCCTGAAAACAAGTTCATGCTGATGTAAGTTTTGCCACTTTTGTGATGGGTATGAACGCTCATTTTGCGCCAAGAGAAGTTCCTAAAAATGAGGACTGTCCACACAGTATTCACTAAAGGTGAGCAGTGAGGGAGACCTGTTGTACCTACAACCAGGACACTGTTTCCCTAGTATGTTCCAATATAGTAGTAAATGGCTTTGTTTCATTCTGCTTTGCCACCCAAGTAAGTTGAGGTCCAAACATCCTTGCCTGCAAACATGATGGTTTCCTCTGGACTCATCCAGGGATTGCTGTGCCCTCTGATATATTATTAAGGGTGCAAATATCTTGAACTTCAAAGAGTGACATATTAACTTGTGGAAATCTTTCTCACAAAATGCTAGAAGTGTATAGGGGTTAAAAACTAACCAGAAGCAGGAAAATCTAATTCAGGACTAATTCATACAAAGTCTCCCTTTCTGGCTCAGTGAGCCTCTAGGTAAAAGATCATTGTCGCTGGAGAGAATACTGTAGAGAAATATAGCCACATGCTAGTCTTCCCTAGCTCTTCATTATCGGCTAGTGTCACTGTTGGGACACAGTATATATGAGGCTCAACTGTCCTTCCACCTGTTTTATGTTCTGACAGTTTAAGATGCCTTTGGCTACTTTACAGAGTGCTCACAGTTGTTAAGACATAGTTGGCTGCTATAAGCTAGGTTTGCTTTTAGATATAGCGACCAGTGCCTTGGAGCTCCCATGGCCACAGGCCCATGCAGGGGGACAGGAGAAATCTCCTTCCCACAATGGAGGCAGGATGCTTGTAGGGGTTAGTGTAGGAAATGAGGAGTAGCATAACCCCTCAGGAGAAGTTAAAGATGTCACAAATTCCAGTGGAGACCAGAAAAAGACACAGGAGGGGAAACTTAGGTGTCCATGTGTGAACCAGGTGTCTGAACATCCTGTGCAGACCAAGGAGATCGAGTCAAGTCGAGCCACCCTACGGAAGGGCTCCTGCTGCTGGTTCAGCCGGCTTGCTCTGAGCTGGGTAGAGGAAACAGCTCTATTCAGCTGCCTGAATTTGTACCGTGCCATTTGAGACGGCCCGAGGTATGTGAGACACGCGCTCGGGCTGGTCGATACGCTGAGACCTGGGCCTATGCCCTTCAGGGGAGGAAGCTGGAAGAGCAGGGAGTATCACCTAACCACGGGCRCCTCTATTTACTCCGCGGCGCTAAGCCCTAGGTCCTGACCGGCCGTAGAGGAAGTGCAGGCGCATATCGCGTATGTGAACACCTACAGGCCAGCTTCTAACTTTAGGCATGTTTATCTGGACCTGAGCCCCACGCGGCGCGCGCTAGATAGTCCGTGCGCGGCATGGACTGTGCTGGGGAAAGAACATGCCGGGCTGCCAACACGAAGACCATGTGGCTTGTCCCATCCCGCCGCTGCTCCCACGGGAGCAGAGAGGCTGCTGCTATTTACAGCAGGTGGTGACAGGACGGTCAACATGGTCACGCACAGGAAAACAGAGTGCCCTCCTACTGATCAGCCTTGGAACTTGAAAATGAGCGAGATGACCTGAACACTAGGAGTTTGGTCCCAAAATGAAAGTTCTTGCAGATGCTCCTGGCCCTCTGATGTTTTTGGTTCCCTTCAGACATTCCTATTTTTTTTTTCAAAAAAGTGATTTGTCTCTTCCCTTATCCCCTCCCATTCCAGGTGCTCTGACAGCACAGGCCTGTCCCTTCCTCCCGCTGCCCTCCTTGGCTTCGCCTCCCTCCAGCAAGGGAGGACAAGCAGGCAATTATTTCAGTGTGGTTTATTGCCAGGAACAGGTGTACCTTAAATCAAAATAAAGCTCTCTTGGAAGAGAATCAAAAAATCCAAAGGAAAGCTTGCACCAGTTTTAAGTTGCTCCTGAATAAGTTGAACTGTCTTATTTTCCCTATGTAAGCATACCTGTACTGGAAAATATCAATCTCTCTCCACCACTTTTTTTTTTTTTTTATCTACCATACCTCAGATGCCTCTTCCTCTGTTTTAAGTAGCCAAGTAAAAATATTCTCCTGAATTTCCTTCTATATTTCACCTGCATTTGGTTAAGATCTCCATGGTATTTCTCTATTTGAAAAAGGCTTTAACAAACATCTATCAATAGTTCCCTTTTAGTGGCAAAACCAGAAAGTGAGTTATGGGTGAAATCCCAGGTTCATTGAAGTAAACAGTACTATTACAATTAATTTAATTGGGACTAAGATTTTAGTCCACACTTGCTGTAAAGGAACAGGAAACTTTGAAAGAAATGTCAGCTGAGGGCAGTGTCATTCTAAACTTCTGTATAATAGAGTATTAGAAGGCACAATTTTATGAAGCACATTTACTTCTTTGATATTTTTCCGGATAATTTCTTATGTATGATCTTCCAAAATGTTAAGCATCCCCTCAGCTATGAGGCTGATGCTATTCAGTCTTYAGAAATGTTTCTCATTTTACTTGCCTTGCAAATAGCATCCTCCCTCATTAACTCCATTCAGAGACTGCAAGACTTCTAAGCGGCCTTCTGTAATCTTCGCTTTGAACATTTCATTTCAGATTATATTTCAAACAATGAATTCTTTCATTTCAGATCTTTCATCTAGTGTAACTGAGGAAAACCCCTGAGATTATTTGAAAGTTTTGTTAATTGTACCTTACCAGAAGGTTTTTCAGTTCTCACTGTGCTAACACTGTGTGTGTCAATACTAATGGGCCCAGGTAAAGAACCTGACAAGAACAGGCAGGAGGTCAAACACAGAAACTTTACTTGGATATAGCAAAAAAATTAAAAAGCCCTGACATGCCATCAGTGAAACTCTTGAAAATTACAGGAAGAATATCAGGATGATGTCAGGAAATGTCACTACTGCTCAAAACTCATGTATGTGCTCAGAGTAATACATAAGCCTGAATTCTCTCTCGTTCATATTCTTCAAAGTCTTATTTATAGGAAAGATGCTAGTGACAGCTCTCTCTGTTGCCTGTGTTTAATGCCGGTGTGCTGGAATGCCCTTTCTTTCTAAATAAAAATGGTGCATGATTAAATATTTAAAATGGTTGAATGAATTCTACAAATGTCTTTCCCCCTTCCTTTTTTTTTTTTTGATCTGAGCAGAATATGGGCAACATTTAATTTTAGGCTCATCATTATATCACTGAAATAGTTAAGGATTGCCAGAAGTTCACAAAAACGGCTTCTAGTTCCTACTTGCTAAGGATATGCGGGAGACTGCAATGGCTCTTAGTCACAGCCCAGCAAAGAGATGGGCCAACCTACACCAGCATAGAGCACAGATGCCTCAAACGCCACAAAAGTAAGCAGAAAATCTCAAGAACGTGGCTTATCTAGCCTGCTCCTTTATTAGCCCACAAATGTAATTAATCGGCAACAGCAGAACCAAATTTAGGCTACCCTAAGGCTATCCTTCCAAGGTTTAATTTTGGGCTAAAGTTACTTCTAAACCAGAGGAAAAATATCTCTTGTAGTGGTCATTTCTTACGAAGAATCCTCAAGACAATTCATTATCCTAAAATTCAAAGTAAATCATCAGTAAATCACCACTACATGGTTCGGTGACATGATCATTGGATGCTACAGTGAACCAAGAGGACTGAGTCTACTTTGACAGAAATCAGTTTTTCTAATAGTTCTTTGTATGCCAGTCATTGCAGTAGCTTCATCATGTGGTATCACTATTCTCAGAATTCCATCCAAATTGTCCCCAAAACAGCTTCAATACAACTTGCTGGCAGCGCCATGAGGGTATCAGCTTAGAATTTTAACCAGAGACTACAGCACGTTAACATAATATGCATCTCACAGCACTATGTTTGAGCACACCCTGTTATCAAAACTTCAAAATAGCAAAAGTATATTCAATAGACTCTGTCCTAAGCTGATAGAAATCAGAAGTTTAACATAGCTTAAGATATAGGCTAAAGACTGACACCTGACTTGAGTCATTTAACAGTACTTCAAAATAAGATTGCTTTTTTTCAGATTCCAAAATGAAAAGGCTTGGTTACACAAACATGTCTATAGGGGCAGCAGATAAGATTTTGGCCTTGATGTATTTCATATTC